ACCTTGTAGCCTGCCTTCATCCCCTCTTGGAAAGCCAATTTACTGCTTCCCTTCTGCTCTCTCTGAAGACTTGAAGTAAATGGATGAGTACAAGGACATATGTAAAATTTGGGCTGCTTTGGTTGGACCATAGCCTCCAATTAACCCACCTGCAGAATGTTGCCTTAAAATGAGCCATTTTCCCTTTAATAGATCTTTGTTTTTTCCTAATGATCCTGGAGTACCTGTTTTTTATAGGCCAGCACCTTGGAAGTAGAAGGATTTAAGTTAAAGAATTGTAATTCTCTTAGTCATTAATTCACGTCCTCTGTTTTGTTCCAGTAAAATGATGAACTTTAAGTGCTTGATGTTTGCAAAGATGCACAATCTCTGTCAGTGAAGCTGACTTGTTACAGCAGACAGAATTTTCTTTGATTTTGAAGATTTTGATGTCAGTTATGCAAACTCCTTGGTGCCCTTTAAACATGGAGATGATGGAATCGAGTCTTTTCGTAATTTGTGGTTTCTTCCTTTGATTTTTGTCTGACACTATTAAAGTGGTTCTTTAAAGGCAGAACTTTTCCTGTGTGTGTTTGAGAAGGAAAAAGGGGGAAGAGTTATGAGCAGTTGGTGTTAAAGGAGAAATTGTGATGTCGTTATGGACAAGGAGACCCTTTTCAGAGATGGTCAATGCAAAAACCTGGCTGTTTCTTCTCAGCTGAGGAGGACTTGCCCTGTCACCAGAGGAGAGTGAAAAGGAGCACCACTCACTGGAGTATTTACATCTGCTGTGTGTTTGTGTTTTCTGAGCTTTCAAACCAGATTTGCCTGAGCCACAGAGCTTCTACTCCTAAATTCTCACTTTGAAAGCAAAGTCTAACATCTGGGAGCTGTGTGTTCACTAACAGATACACTTCAAGCTTGGAATAAACTGAGCTGCTCTGACCCCCAGTTTTTTATTAGCACTATTCCTATGCAGACCCCAGAACATGCTCTGCAAGCAGTTTATTATGAAGTATTAACGAGCTCAGAGCCAGGCCTTGAAAGTAAGGAATGGAACAGAATTAGTTTCATACCGGTTGTGGGTTTTGTGGCTTCCAGGCTGCCAAATGACAGCACCACTTGGGTATTATTCCTACAGCACCTCAGTGCTCTAACAGCCAGGAGTATTTTTATGTTTCTGGCTGTGAAGGGAGTGGAACTCCTGGCTCTTATTCCAAATTCCTTTCGTTTTACTTGTGAAAATATAGTGCAGCCCATGAGAAGTCACTTTTTGCCATAACTCTGTGGAGCATTACAAGCAGAAAGGTTTTGCCTCCAGGATTGCAAACGTGCATCTGGTTAAGTTATAAGAATAACAAGAACAACATGGAAAAAAAATGAGCTTAAAGTTGTTTTTTCCAGGTAGCTTCATTTACCCAGCTGCCCATTTACTGCTTTCAGTGAAGTGAGCTCATACCTACAGAAAGGAACTGAAAGCTGGGGCCTCAATTCCTAATCCTCATCTACCTCCATGAAAACACTGCTGGAGGCTGCAGAAGGGTGGGGTGCACATCTGAGTGTGCAAAAGGGAGGTCTCTGTGGCCAAGGGCCTTCAGAGCCCAGCACTGCCAAGAGGAACCTGCAGCTACCTGCTGCACTGGGGGGGTTTATTTTCAATTTGGTTTTTGAAGCACGTGATGGGAAAACGTTGTCAGACTCCCTGCTGGTGTCTGGTGTGGCTGTGTGACTTGTTCCACGTGCTGAGGCTCTATGGGATGCTCTGTCTGGTGGAGGCAGCTGCCTCCTGAAGGCATGGTAAGAAAGAATGCTCTTTATGCTGAACTTGTGGCTGCTCAAATCCTCCCTGCTGCCTGCCTGTGGGAGTTTGCAGGTGCTTTGCTGACACAGCAGCTGAATAACAGGCACAGTGCTCTGTGATTTCAGCAGACCAGTGCAAACCTGATACTTGATCAGAATTGGTCTATAAGGAGTGGAGGTTTTACACTGGTCCCCTCTGGAGGATCTGTGCAATTCATTAGGGGAGGGCTGTTTGAAATCTGGCTCAGCTTAGCATAGATTTTTTTTATTTCCACAGCTTGCAGGCTTAGGCTGTAATCCTGCCTGCACATCAGTGAAGGCCTTTAAAGGTGGTTACCTGGGATGAATGAGCAAGTAGGTGAACATGAACTGGTGAGTAGTGTGCTTTACATAGTTGAATTCTCTTTCTTACCCAATGGATGAGACTGTTCTTGGCCTTTTATTCATAACATGGCAATTTTCCTAACATTTCTTGTTTGTTTACACAGTTTAGATGTTTACAGGAGTCTAACTCTAGAAGTCCTGGACAGCAAACACTGTCCATCTGACAAATGGGTGCCTGCTCTTCAGAAATGGCAGTTGCAGAAGGAGAAGAAGAATCCTTTGTTCAGCAGTGTGCTCTGAAGGAGGTGATACCTTGTTGTCCAGCCTGAGAAGGCAACTGGGTAACAAAACCCTGTGTTTTGACTGCAAAGGGAAGGAATTGACTCTCTTGGCGTGGACTTGGTCACTTTGATATAATCATCTGGCTGACTAGACTATTGCAGTCCCCTTGCATTCTCATTTTGGATCTGCTGAAATCCCTGGGGACCACAGCATCTCTGTAAGTGTAAAATGGATATTCTGACACTACTTCTAGGATGCTCTTCTTGGAAATCCACCTGCAGTTGAGGAAGCAGCTCACAGTGCTGACAGACCCTAACCTGAGTCTCTGACAGCAGCTTGGCTAGTTACTGGCCACTGTTGTTTCTGCACCAGCAGGAAACTACTTGAGAAATTTGTGCTATGTGGCATTGCAATCACTCATCTTCTTCCCTTTTTTGCTTGCAAATGCTCTGACTCCCTCAAGGAACTGCTGGTTGATGGGTCATCCCCATATTTTTTCTTGTATGTACCTGTTCAGACTGCAAACACCCTTTTAACAGGAAAGGTGAAGGGTTTATGGGAGTTGATCCAGCCCTGGGCCTCTCTACTCAAAGCCATCTGTACCTAAAGTATTCCCAGTGTGTGTCTTTAACCTGTTCTTCAAAATTTCTTGTGTTGGGGACTCTGGTTTTCCCTAGGCAAGCTGTTCTGGAGCTCTCTGCTAGCTGTGGACATGTTTCCTGAAGTCTTCATTGCTGTATGCAAGCCAGTTAACACTTTCCCTGCCCACAGCTGACACCAGGTATCTCTTTGTGCTCTGAGGCTGTTTTGTGCCCTCTGTTATCTTCCCACCTCTGTGATGTGCTGGATTTACAGAAATTTAAGAGGTGCAGAGCAACACAGAGAAAACAAAACAAGGATGTGAAAGGGTAACCAGGTCATGGGTGATCCAGGTGTTGCAGCAGCTCTTTCTTTTTTGAAATAAAAGAAGGGATGACTGAGTTGGAAGAAAGCTGTCTTGCAGGCCAGGACTTAAAAGCATGGCAGCCATCCTCCAGGTCCTGGCTGGAACATTGCATGACAAAAGGAACTGGAAGCTACAGAAGAGTGGGGTCTGCTTTAATAGTTCCCCTTCAGTGAGAAAGAAGAGAAGACCTTGGGGCTTGATGCAAAGGACTGAATGGAAAAATATTGGGAAAAGATGTCACAAGGATCTTTTTGTCATGCTTTTGCTTAATAAAGTGTGTACATTTAAAAATCCCTTTTACAGAAGGTGTTTTCTGTTACTTATGTTATCAGAGGTGGGAGTGGTGAAGCAGAGTCCCCAGCTTTGGGGGTGGGTGTTTGAAAGTGTCACCTCCAAGAGGCTCCACAGAGGCAGCACTCGTTTGGGGCCCTTGGTAACACAGTCTCCTTTTGGTTGGATATCTGCTCTTTGTGGCCAAGAAACCAGGGATGTGTTCAAGAATTCCTGTTTTGGGCTTTAGCACATCCACTCAGGAGCCAAGGATAGATACAGGACTCTGAAGGAAGGTCTTGGGAAGGCCCCACTCTGAGCTCTGTAGTGTTGTAGTGGAGGCAGGGCCTTGCTCATGAGAGAGCCCAGCACAGGTTGATGGCAGACTCTGTGCAAGCATCATGATAAGATCATTATCTTGCACTTTGGTAATGTGCTTACAGCTGCATGGCTGTAATTTAGTCTCTTAAAATCTCTTTGGTAGACAAAGGGAAAAAATAAGACTCTAATGCAACTGTTAATTGACCTTGAAACTCCATCCAAAGGAGCCTTTCTTTAAGTCAGGTGGATCTGAACACCAGAGAAAATCCTGTAGGAAAAAGCAGCAGGTATCTGTGGCTTGAAAGGGTTTTTCAGTTTGATTTCCTTATTTTCTGTCAGTGTTTGTGCTTCTCTAGGGCTTGGGCTTCTATCCTAGTAGTGGCTGAGGACTTTCA